GGCCCGCGCGGCCTCGCGCAGGTCGCGGCCGGTCCCTTCGTTACAGCTGCTGGACCGCACTGTGGTGACGCCCCGGGAAAGAGGCAGCGGCGGGTCTAAATCGAGAATGAGCGCTGTATTATTGCCATCCACCCTCGTCCTCCAGAGTCTGGAGGATGAGCCAGCAGATCAGTTTGGTGTGAAACAACACTTGTATTGGAGGACTTTTAGGTCTCTTGTATCCTTGGTCTCAGAACCTGGAGCTTCTAACTCAGAGGGCAAGTCCTTACTGAGCACTTACCAGACAGCTATCATACTAACTAGGCCTTCGAGAGCAGGAAGCCTGGTATAACGAGTGCCAACAACCGTTTAAGTTCTCGGAGGCATATTGGCATCTTAATTAAACATAATTACTATACAAAACTGCAATTTTGTTGTCTACGAAATGGAAATAACCTTATTTAGGCTAAAGATTTAAAGAAAAAATTATTCTGACACTTGTTAAAGTGGTAATGGCTTTATTCAAAAGTATTGCAATAGGTGAAAACTACGTTCAATTCCAGATAAAGTGGGAATGTATAGCCGAGGAGCAAGATGGGAGTCAATGTATGGAAAATAGGAGGCAACAGCAAAGATAAGGCTAGGATTCTAGTTAAACAGAATTCTTGCTGAAGGCAGTCCAGGTTATAAGACATCACCTGGGAATGATGTAGGATGAGGAACTCCATTAGATATGGGAGTGATCAGTTATGGAGGATAGGGGATTTTGACTTAGCAAGATGCTTGCTAAAACTGGACAATGTAAAGAGAAAATGGAAGTTCAAAAGTCAAGGCCTAGTTGAAAAAGAGTTCAGGGAAGCCTAACTAGAGTTTGGTCAAAGAGAGGATCTTTATTAGGCTGTTAGTTATAAGATTATTAGATAACAGAGAAATATGTTAAGTAGTTTTCTAGCCCATAATAAGGACTCATAGGGGGCTGATATTTTAGGGTAGACGAAACAAATAGAAAGCAGTTATTAAACAATATACCAACTTACTTTGTAGGCAGTCAGTACTTGCTTGGGATGCAAATACTGAAAGGAAAATCAAAATCCTTTAATGACTTTGATGGAATAAGGTTTTAGGACTTCCTATATCTATCGGACTGTCACCAAATGAAACATGACATGAGGAGACATTTCTTAAAAAGCATTTTTTTTTTAAGAAACTCAACAGTCTACATGTAGAATAATTGTGCCCTTTGAGATAGTCATTCACAAATCCAACAGTATCCATTCTTATTTCCATAAGATGCTATTGGTTACCTATCCAAACATCCATATGGACATTCTTTTTCCCATTCCAAATTTGTTTAGGTTTCTGCCCACTTCTCCAGGTTACTTTCTTTGGGAAGATGCAGCTCCAGCATCAGCCTTAATATTACTCTTGAAGAGTCATACATAGCTCCTCTCCTTCACACCTATATCCCAGTATTTTAGTGTCATGGTCTTTCAGGCTGCTATAGTAGAATACTATAGACTAGGAGGATCATATACAATAGGAATTTCTCACAGTTCTGAAGTCTAGGAAGTTCATAACCCAATCACCTCCCAAAGTCCCCACCTCCAAATACCATCACACTGGAGATTAGGATTCAATATACAAATTTTAGGAGGACACTAACATTTAGTTACCAAGTCCCTGGTAGCTCAGCCTTCAAAATATATCCATAATCTTTCACTTCTCATCGCCCCTTTTTGTATCATCCTAGTCCAAACGATCACTTCTTTCCTGAATAATTGTAGTCTCCTCCTAAATTCTATCCTGTTTCTTGCCCTTCTACCCCTTTAGTCTATTCACAACAAACAGCCACCTGATTTTTTTAAAAGCTTAAATTAGATCATTTCTCTGCTCAAAACACTTCAATGTCATTCTAAATCACTCAGTATTAGCAAGTCTTTACTATGACCTAAAAGCATTTTTCAACCTTGGCACTATTAACATTTAAGTCAGATAATTATTTGTTGAGAGGGAAGATAGTCAAAAGGTAGACTCTCCTATAACTTGTTATTTAGCAGCACCCTGGGACTCACCACTTCCCTCCCCTGCAAGTTATTACAACAAAAATGTCCTCAGACATTACCAAAATTTATAAATTTTACCAAAATTTCCACCAGTTGAGAATGGCTTCAACATGTTCTACACCTTTCCCCATGCCCCACCCCCATCGTTTCCTATTACTCTCTCCAACCGCTATGGCCTCCTTGCTGTTCTCAGGATCTGTGTAGTTCTCCTTTAGCCTGACCCACTCTTCAATCTGGTATTCAATCTGGTACTCTGTCACTTTCTTCAGGTCTCATTCAAAAGTCCACTCAGACTTTTCCTAATTACACTGTCTAAAATGTCAACCTACTCACGATACTTCTTCATAGCCCCTTTTTCATTTTTTAACTCCTAGCACTTACTACTGTACAACATATTATATGAGTTACTTATTTACTTTGAAAATGGAGAAATAATCTTCCTCAGTAAGTTGTATGCTCCATGAGAATAGACAATATTTTTGACTGTTTTGTTCACTCCTGTGTTCTCAGCCCCTAAATGAATATAGAAAACATACTATTTTCTTGTTAAATGAATAAATGAATGATAATGGTCCCATTCCCCTTTCCAGTGATTGGTTTAGACAGTAAACATGTATGAAGTATAGGTAATGAGAGGTGAAGATAAGTTTCCTGGATACTTCTATAAAGAGGTGATGATCTTTTCTGGATATCACTATGGATATGATGCCTAGAATTTCTGCAGTCATCTTATGACCATGAGGGTAGGACAAATACAAATCCAACACACCAGAAATGGCAGAAAATTAAACAAATGAGGTTAGGATATATATATATACACATACATATATACATGTATATATATACATATACATGTATATTTGTATGTATGTATATACACATATACGTACATATATACATGTATATATATATAAAAGAACTTCAGCTCTTAACTCTTATCCCATATAAAAATTAACTTGAAATTGATTATAGACCTAAATCTAAATGTAAGAGCTAAAACTATAAAACTTTTAGAAGAAAACCAAGAAGGAAGGCTTTATGATCTTGGATTTAGTAAATTTTTGTGATATTTGAGTTTGTGTAGAATGCACCTAAATAAATAAATAAATAAATAAGCTGAAAACCTAAAAGAAGAAATTGATGAATTAACCTCATTAAATTAAAAATTTTTTCTTTTCAAAATACACTGTTAAGATACCAACTTTTGGTAAGTGTCTAAAGTAACTGGAACTCTCTTACAATGCTGGTGGAGATGCAAAATGGTACAGGCACTTTGAAAAACAGTTTGTCAGTTTGTATAATATTAATTATATAAATAATATAGACCCAGCATTAAAGTTCCTAAGTATTTACCCAAGAGAAATGTAAAACTGTATGTACACAAAGACTTGTATGTAAATGTTTATTGTGGCTTCAAATGTAATAGCCAAAAAGTGGAAACAACTCAAATTCCCATCAACTAGTGGACGGATAATTGTGGTATACAATGTATCTCCTGTACAATGGAATATCACTCAGCAATGAAAAGGAACAAACTACTAATGCAAGCAACAAGCAGGATGGATCTTCAAAGCATTGATGGTATGTGAAGGAAAGAAGACACAAAAGAATACATACTGTATAATCCCATTGAAATTGCCAGGGACAAGGTTGGAGGTATGGGATTTACTACAAAGGGGCTGATGGAACTTTTTGGAATGATGGATATGTTTAATTTCTTGATTGCAGTACTGATTATATGATTACACATCTGTTAAACTCATTTAATTGTACGCTTCAAGTTTATGAATTTTATTATGTGTAAATTATGACTCAACAAAACTGACTTAAAATAATGGCTGAAGAGAAAGATGAGAAGAACCTGAGTCCTTGAGACCATTACTGAACTATTCATTCAACTAACCTTGAAGGCACTATACTTTTCATATTCATCCATAAGGTGTTATTGTTATTGTTTAAGCCACTTAGCATTGATTTTTATGTCTTGCAGCCAAAATCTTCCTAACAGATGAAATAAAGTTTCAAGTGCCAATGATTTAAAATGTTAATAAATTTGTACTAAATAAAAAATGGGAACAGAAGTGCAGGTAAACCTGTAATGAGAACATGCAGGGCTTTTTAAGTGTTGCGATTTAATGCAGAATTTTATGATTCAGAGCATATTGCTGTGTGTATGTTTCAAGATGAAAACTGACAGAATATAGAAATACAAATTTTGGAAGAGTGTCTTCTGAATGAACATGATGAGAAATAAGAAAGAAAAGAATCTAGACATGAAAGCAGTACAGTATGAGTCATCAGAAAAAAATAGGGAAAACAAGGTTTTCAAACAACACTATTTTGATAAATCTTACAAACTATGTATGAATGATTTACCACACACACACACACAAAAGAACTTTCTTGGCTGTGTGCCAACTTGTAGGTATGGCATGGATTTTCCTTTTCAAAGAACCAGGTGCTATAAAATGTTCACTCTGGTTCAAAGAAAAAAAGAGAAACCTAACCATTTAGTGAGCACACTTTACAAGGCCAAAAACATTTTAAATCAATTAAAATGTTAAAGATGTTGCATAGACAAAACATTTAGAAAAATCCAGTCTTTGTTATTTAATGTGAGAAAGGAGATCACTTCACTGGAAACATTTTGCCTGCCAAAGAGCTAGGTTTTGTTTTATGAAAATCAGGAGTCCATTTACACTCATAAATGCACAATCTCTGAAGAGCTGAAGTGTTAGACATAGAAATTCTGAATATAATAGTATTCAGATAAATAGAATCACAAACCTATCAGATACAGGA